TTTCTTTTTAAAAAGATAAAGATATTAATTAGATAAGTAGTAAAAATAAATATATTATTTTCCTTTCTATTTTAACTAAGAAAAAATTTATCTCTAGTTGTCAGCTTCGCATTTACTAAGTTAATTATTATTCCCCATAAGGATTAGTTGAAACAGATCGAATCTCATATCAAATTAAATATTAGATGCATTTTTAATTAATTATAATCTTTTTTTCTTAATTTATTTATCAAAATAAAAATATTCAATTGTAATTTAATTTAATTTAATACATTCAAAGTATTTAAAAAGAAAATCTAAAAATTTATGATTTATGAGGTGAAAACAAGTATTATCAATTATTTAATTCTCATACAATTAAATTAATTAAAAAAACTAAAGCTTATAATAGAAATTATTTTAAAAGAAAACACTATTATAATTATCCTTAAAATAGCATATAAAAAAATTAGATTCATGCATTTAAATTACATAATAATTTCCAGAGAATAAACTTTCGAGAAAATATTGCTATAGGATAGAAAGTAAAACGATGCATTAGAAATTTATTAGGTAGAACGTAAATGATAAATAGGAGTAGAATATGTATAAAATAGAAACATTTATATAAAAATAATTCTGATCTTATGGAATATATATAAAATGTATATTTTAAGGGAAATAGCAAGATTAACTAATAATTTTGTCTTAAAAAGTTCATAGAATTTTTACTAGAAGAAATAAGAATTTAATAAAGCTTATAATAAAATTATAAATAGTATTCTAAGAAAAAACTGAAAAGAAATGAATGAATCACCTTTTAATGGATATTAAAAACAATACAAGATTAAATGTCTTTTAAATAATTTACAAATATAATTATTTTTTATATGTTTATAGCAATATAAAAGAGGATTCAAAATAATATTTAATGGCACTTCTTAAATAATAATAAGAATTTAATCCATTTTTGTATTCTATCCTTCAAAAAGGATTGCTCCCTTTATTGAATGTTTTTGGTCCACTTAACAATGTCACACAAAGAAATTAGAAATGAATATTTGAGAGTTATCTTCCATAATAGTATGAAATTTAATTTCAAATTATAAACCCAATAATTTTCCTTTTCCCATTAGGTGCCCGGATTAAGAGAACTAGCTGCGCTATTGGCCTTTCGACCGTGGACTATATTAGGCTAAGGTGTTTCCTCAATCATTTCAGAATCTATCTGACTCTGACAAAATGAGAGTACTTTTTCTTTGTACTGTTTTGGCTACTTTTAGTTAGTTAGGCTAAGTAAAAGGTTTTAAATATAAGGAGTACCTTCTACTAAAGGTCTTCTCAGCAAAGCATGAGATGAACCTTCTGGAACTCATTTATTACTGATCTAATAAATGTGTGTTCTATATGATCTAATTGACCACAAGGGCTGTGTTGGAGAAGCTTTCTTAGAATTGTCTTTTGTCACACTCTTCTCTTCTTTATCCCTTTCTTATTCCCTTTATCTTAGAGCGTTTTATAAAGTATCATAAAGGCCCTAGAAGATTGGCTAGCCATTAACTGGGTACTCAGATAAGAAATATTATGACAAGGCTTCAATCATCTCTTTATCTATTTTCTCCTGCATTCACAAATTAAAGGATAAAAATAATAGTAATAATTGATATGTATATCAGATCATTAAATTTAAATTAGTATCTTATTCATAATTTTTTTAGTATTTCTGGAACTAATGTTTTACAAAGGCTTACTAGAGAGGAATCTATATTTATTGCAATATTTGAAGAGAGAAATATTTTCATATTTCAGTTCCTATCTTCACATAGAGTATTTTTCATTAAAGCTCAATTATCATGCCCAATCTATTCTTATTATTTGATTCTACATCTTTCATCTATAATATCCCATATAATTGTAAATGCAATTAAAATTTAATTTTAGAACCATTAACACAATAGTCTTCAAACTCTAAATATTTGATTCTTTTCAAGATTAAGTAATACGTACTAATTTTTCATCCTAAATTTTTGATATAAAAGAGAAATGATATTAATTGATTTTACATTTTAGATCGAGTTGAAGTATTATTAATTCACAGAAATCCATATTTGTTATTCATATAAAGAAATAGTCTATTTTAAGAAAAAGCTAATTGAAAATGGAAATTTGATATTATTTGCTTTAATTTCATTATAATAAATTGATTAAAAAATCTTTCAAAGTCTACCAATTAGTTATTTAAGGTTAATAAATGAAAATTTTTTTATTAAAATAGAGTCCAAAAATAAATCCCAATCTTTTTTAAAATAACTAATATCACTTTCTTGAAAAGAAGCCTTAATTCTATTATTAATGATGTATTCGAATACACTTGATAAGGATAATTAAGTTATGAAATAATTGGGGTTTTATCAAATTAACTTTGAAATAATTTAATGGAATTAATCTAAATAATCTTGAAAAAGCTTAGATATATTCATTCATTTTTATCAATTATTACAGCAGATTTCTAAAGTAGGATGAAGTATTGTCTATGATTAAAATTTGAGTTGTAAAAGAAATTTCAAGAATTGAAGAAATTTATTTATTTATAAGTCCTTTTTTGGAATCAGAAATGAATAATATTCAATAATTATATATAATTCGATAATGTTGTTGAAATTTGAAAATCTGAAAATTTCTAAAGTTAAGTATATCATAAATATCTTTCTTTATTTAATACGTCCTTAAAAGAATTATCTGAACATATCCCAATTAATATTTAAATGATATTCCAATTATATTTCTATATCGATCTTCTTTAGTGTTCTTAACAGATATTTGCCTTTGAATGAATTGTTACATAGATCCTTAAGGTATTCCTGTATTCACTTTCTTTTCCATGATTAGTTCTATAAAGTTATTTAGAGAACTATTTGAATTCCTAAAAAGTTAATTTAATAGGGTTCTTTTCAATTTATACAATTTTAGTTTATCAGATTTCTTATTTTTTGCTGTTACTGCAGGTTATATATAGATTAAGACAGAATTGATAAAGATTTTCCAACTATTGATTTACTTTTGTAATGGTATTTTTCTACTTATCCTTTAAGTTTTTTTAAATATTTTATGATTAATATGCCTAAATAATTGTATTTTTAAGCTATTGGATATTCCAGAAGATCTTCATATTACTTATTTTAATAAACTGTGAAAAAAGAATAGGCATGATATCTTCAAATTCACTAATAAGGACTACTTTAAGACACTAGTTCAAGGGTATTCATAATTTTAATTTTGTTTATGTATTTCATTGTAAAGACTAAATCATCTGCATATGCAATTCTATCAAACAATTTTGTGAATTTTTCAGAAAATTCAGTTAAAAGTTCATCCAAATAAATATTAAATAAGATCAAAAAGTAATTTAAGAGAAAGAATAGAAACATGTTCATAAAATACTATATTTAAATTAAAAGCACTCAAATGGTTTATAACTAATTATTAAATAGTTCAAAAAAAGGAATAAGATGAATTATAACTTTTATAAAAATGATGAAAAATGTTTTTTGAGCTATCTTAAAAGAATGAAAGTGGATATATGAAGATTATGAAATCTTAATTTTATTAAATTTTGCTAATAAAAATGATAATGGCTTAAGCTTAGATTTATAAACATTGTTTAAAAAGAAGCAATTATTGAAAATTATTGTCTTAATCGATATTGATGTTAGTCAGCCCTGAAGCACTTATTATTATTAACATTTTATTTATTGAACTTAAGGATGACAATGAAGCTATTCTAATTAATAATATAATTAGATGTTTATAATGATTATGATGTTTATGATAAATATGAACATATTTTTAGATAAAGATGAAGATTATTTTTAATTAATATATCACTCTTCCTATAATGAATATTCTCAAAAAAAAGTAATTAAACTAGAACAAGACACTGGAACATAATAAAAATTATATCTTAATAATTTTTCACATTTAATACTGTAGTATACAGAAGTCTAATACAATAAAAGTTGATAAATGTAATTTAATCATCCTATATTATTTAGAGATTTGTGTAAAATTTATTTTGCGTTTTCTTTAGCTCCTGATTACACATAAAATTAAAATATATATAGGTTATTTATTTAAAGAGAAGGATTCAATTACTTGAATTCTCAAATTTAATTAGATTTTTTAATATAAAAGATAGACAATATTCTAATTTTGATTGCTTTTAATGATAATTAGTTTGATGATTTAATTTGAAAGTATGGAAATATAATAATAAAATATTAAGAATTTTCATAACAATAATTTAGGAGATTGAAAAACTCAAAATAAAATAAAGATATAGAGTTGATTTACGATCTATGATATTATTATATTTATTTTCTAAAAAGTAAATGAATAATTACATTAGTATTAACAATGAAATTTTTTATCGTTATTATATGTAAATAATGTAGCCTAAGAATATTATGTAAATATGATCAGATTTGAAATGTGGTTTACAAGATAATATTTCTAATTATAAGGATTAAAATTTTCTCTCTACACATGCAATAAATATACAATCATGCATAGAATATTTGCATGGCTAGAATGATCAAGCTTGGAATTTTTAATATTCTTCATTTTTGGTATTAGTGATTTTATTTTCAAGCAGCTGTATAGTCTTAAGAAAGAGACTTTGTAATTTATGGAATTTTTGTTATTTTTGAAGTTTTAAAGGAGGAGGTTTAAGTAGCTTTAGTGATAGAATATTTCGAGAAGATGATTAATGGGAATTATGACAGCCTTAATGAAGACACTATAGAATAAGAATATAGAATGTTAAGTTTTGTATAGTCCATTTTGAATATTGAAAGATGTAGTGAAAACTAAATCTTCCAAACATAATAAAGAATGGATTATATGAAATAGTAAAAAGTGTATTATCTATGCAATTTAGGATGCCTTTCAAATTTTATCCAGTTTTAAATGAATAAAGTCTAAATACAATAAACATATTTTCATGATGATCTAGTTATCATGATATATCTAATAACTTGAAAGTGGAATTAAGTTATTCAATCTTAAAAATATGTTTAAAATATGCTGAATTTAGTGATAAGTTTAAAGAGAGAAGAACTAAATTTGTTTTATTGAATCTGTTCCTGATGATAATTAAAATCATTATATTCATCCAAATAGAAATAGGTAACAATATCAGATCTTGATTTTTCCCTTGCCTTCATTGATTATAGAGGGATGAAATCTATGTATTGATTTTTTGTTCTATTTCTTATATCCTTTTTTTTGGATTTATAAATTAATATTCTTAGCATTAGAATCAAAAGAATAGTTCAAAAAGTTAACAATTTGAAATTTCTTTTCAAATAATTACAATATCAAATAAATTTAGTTATTAAATATATTACTAAAAATATAATTAATTCTTTATTAATCTACCTTTTATTACAGACTCAATTAAATGATATCACTATTCTTAATAATCTGAGTATTAAAATTTTCAAATAGTTTATAAAATCATAATCACTATTGAATAGTGTTGTTATAAATGTGTATTATTGTTTATTCAATCAAATAAGTTTAATGATGAATACCCATAAACTTATATATTCATATTGATATCAGGCCTGTAAAGTCTAACATCAATATTAGCTTTTCATATTACAAAATTCTATAAATATTAAAATTCATTAATATTTTTAGATAAAATAAATGATATTACTAATAGTAATATAAGTAATAAACATATTTGCTAATTAAATATCCGAGCAAGTATTTTACTTATACCCAACAGAAGGAGAATTTTATCAAAACTATATACGTTCTTTTATTACTAATGCTTAATTAATGTGCTAAATGTATCCTTAAGTTCCAAATGTACAGGTTATAAATTAATGCAAAGAAATATATAGAACCAAAGGGAATGGTAAAAAATTAAATATTATTATAGAATTTATATCAATGTCATCAAATAATACACATTTTGGTACTCTATCAAATGATAATGAAATAGTTATATATGAATGGAAGAATTAAACGATTCAATAACTTTGGTAAACAGTAACTATTAATCCTTTATTTAATTGTTTTAACATCGATTTGTCTTTTGAATTTTCAATTATAATAGATTGCTATTACAACAATGAATTCTTTTTAATTAAATTAATTGATGCCTAATCAACAATAGCTTATTAAATATATTCATATGCACCAATTTCAACCAAAATAAAATCAATTATAAATGGAACAAATACATTTTTAGTATATGCCTAATATTTTGAGAATTATGCAATACTTTCACTATTTTCATCATAATTTTTAAATTTAAGTAGCTTAATTAACTAATTTGTTGATTTTGATATACCAAATATGATAAGTCCCAATATTTATGCAATTACTTTCCAAGAGATTTTGTAAATATCAATATCTTCAGATTCTCAATTTTATTTAAAATATAATTTCAGTTAAGATAATATGATTGATTTTACTATTATTGATGTTTATTACAATTTTTAAAGTTACTCCTAATGTGATCAAATATAGTTATTATATATCTAATTATCGAATTACTAATCAGATTTTATGATTGGATAATTAATGGGATGTGAAGGTAAAATAATCAAGGTAAGTGATAGTTGCCCATTTAAACCTTGCTAGCCTATTTAGAACATACTTTAAAATAACTAATTTATAATATATTAATCAATAAATGAATTTTGTATTTATAGCAAACAAGCAGCAGATAAATTTTACTTTTTTCAAATTAATTAAAGAAATTCCTTACTATATTTTGATTATGATAATTACTTATTTTAATTTGATTAAGAGATTGGTGTTTATTAAATTTCAGTTCCATCCATCTAAATTAACTTAACCAAATTAACAACTTCAGGAAATTTATACAATTTTAGTCTTACGTGTATGAATTATGATAAAACTTTTTCATTAAGTCTAATTAATTTTTATATTTAAATACTAAACAATTAAGATACAAATATTTATGTAACATCTAATTATGGGTTTAATGATTATGAATTTTCAGTTGAAGTTTCTGGAAAATTTTTATTTTATGGTTATTCAGGATAATTATTAAATTATAAGCTAAGCAAAAACGAACCCTATTTCAATGTTACTTAAATAACTTTTTATAAAGTAGGTGAAACCAATTAAGTTTATTAATTCAAATAATTCTTGTCAATAAATTATCCTATATAAGATGAAAAATAATATTTGATAGGTTATATTAATTAATAACTTGATATTATCTCTTGCATATATAACTATAGCAATTAATTCTACTAATTAATTGAATTAAATACAACTAACATTTCTGTAAATGCAAATTCCTTAAAAGTTTCCTATAGCCTTTATCCTAATGTAATTATAATTGGACTAAGTACGTAAGATACAATCTTTTTGTTTTAATATTTGATTGATAGCAATAGTATAATCAATTATTCAAATTAAACTTTTAAATAAAAATTCTCAGATTTTTTAGTAACTTATAATAGCATAATTATTCTAATGAGAAAAAAGTAAGAAATTCTAATAACTACATTTAATTTTACAAATTCTTTTTCTCTTAATTAAAAGTCAATAAATAAATTGTTTAAAAATATTCAATTCAATCCTGAATAAATAATTGTAAATACATAATTAATGTCATCCTTATTATTTATCAACAATATAAATGATGTTATCATCTTATCAATAGATTAAAATAATTTTCCAAAACCTATATCCTTGATTAAAGTTAATTTCACGATTAAATAGATAAATTTAGTCAACTAATATTTGATATTATCATATTTATGCAATAATGAATAGAATATTTGTTTTTAAGTTTGGAATGTATAAAATTTACCATAATACTACTATATAAAGAATCTTTATAGTGTAAAATTTGATTCTAACATAACAATATAATCTGATAATCTATTCTTTTATGTTACTTTTAGCAATTTGACTTTTTTATGTTTATAATCCTTAATTACCATATCATATGAGTTTATATTATATGTTATAATTAACATCGTCATTTTAATGTACTTAGTTATCATAATTAAGGGAAGGCATTATTTATGAAAAATCAATAATAATTTCTAACAAAAATTTATATAAACTTTTTGGATTATAAAACTTTAACCTTACATATTAATTTGAAAATTAAGTCTTTAACAATTCAATAAGTTACCCTAAATTAACCTATAATTATACTATAACTTCAGCATTGAATGACACAGCCATATACTAAACTCCTAATTAAACTGTTACTTTTTATGCAAATTTCACAATATTTTCATATTAAAACAATTTATAAATTGATTTAACTAATAATACCATAATTCCTTAATCTAAAAATGTCTCATATCCAATGAATTTAATTCTTGATAGATAAGTTGGATATTGTAATATCAGTTAAACCTAAGGTATAAACCAATATTGTAGTTTAACATAATTTTTTCATAATTACAGTAAAATTCCTAATTATAGCAATTACTCATTAATCACATCAATCAATAACGAATTTTTTGCTTTTCAGAATAACTCTTACATATAAATTGTAAATAGCGATTTAAGTAATATATATAATTTAAGCTATTCAAATCTAAACTTGAGTGAATGTCTAAAATCAACCTCATCTAATTACACATTATATTCAATTTGTTAAGATAGTACTTCATAATA